CTCCTCCTCATCATCATCATCCTTCCCTTCCTCCTCGTTCTCTTCCTCTTCTTCCTCTTCCTTCTCCTTCTCCTCCTCCTCCTCCTCCTTCCCCCTCCTATTTCCCCCTCCTTCTCCTCCTCCTCGTCCTCGTCATTATCGTTATCCTCCTCCTCTTCCTCCTCTTCCTCTTACCTCCCTCCATTTTTCGTTTATGGTAAGCCCCTCCCTTTTGCACCCCGAGGCCACCTGGAAGGGCTGGCTGGGCGTTTCGCCTGATACTGCCCCATCTTGTCGGATCCTCAAGCTTGAAACTTGGCAAGATGTTCACGGATGGAGGGCGGTTGGTTTTCAAAATGTGGTTCTCGCTTTAGCGCCGCGCACTTCGTTTTGACAAATTGCAGGAGCTTATTTTTTTAGGGCGCGTGGTTTTCAACATGTGGTTCTCGCTTTAGCGCCGCGCACAGTCTTGTTAAAATGCAAGAGCTTCACGAATGGAGGGCGGATCGTTTCAAACAATTGTTCTCGCTTAGCGTCGCGCACAGTCGTCATAACACATTGCAGCAGCTTCACGGATTCAGGGCGGTTCCTGTTCAACATGTGGTTCTCAGTTTAGCGCCGCGCACATTTGCTTTTTAGAAATTCAGAGCAGGTTCAAGGATTCTCATGGCTAGCGTTCCAGAAATTGTGTTTGGACACGATGGCGGATTCTCATTGCGCAGCAGTTGCAATGATTCGTGTTATTGAAGTCTCAGTATTGGGATTCGGTCATGGTTCAAGATCGTCGATAAGCAGCCGTAACGGTGATTCGTAGCGCTGAAGTCCCAGGTGTTGTGCTCTGGCCCAGCTCAGATTTCAAATGCTTATTTTCCAGCGGAGAGTTTCTTTCAGGGGAGCTGAGTCCTGCTATGGGGCCTATGAAGATGGAGCTTCCAGGGAGGGTTTATTGCAGCACCGTTAATGAGTCGTGGGTTTGCTTTGGTTCCTCCTCCGCCTCCTGACCTCCCTTCTCATTATCCTCCTCCCGTTTTTCTCGTGTGGTCCTTCCCCTCTCACTCTGTTCCTCCTTGTCTGCCACATTCCACATTCCGTATCCTCTCCCTCTCTTGTCCTCCTCCTCCACATCCTTTTCTTCCTGAAGTTTTCTTCCTCATCCTGCCCCAGACTTCGGACTGTCCAACTTCCGCTTATTTCAGCTGCCCTGGTGGCTAGACGGTGCCGGTTCCCTGATTGGGGTCGGGGTCTCGTCGACGTAGTTGACTTGGCTTTGATTGCATTGATTTCGACATTGGCCGTTGCGACGACGACGACGACCGACATTCACCGAAGGCGACCGTTTGTTGTCCAACGATGGTGTTATGATATCAGTTCGGCATGGGTAGGCGAGACACAATCGCCGCGACAGTGGTAGAGATTGCTCCGGCATGGGACGAGCCCTGCAAGGTCGGGAGTCTTGAGACGTGGGTCAATGCAAACGGGGGTCAGCCAGAGCACTGGCTCTTGCAGGATCTTGCAGAGCCAGGGTTGCATTGACTCGGGCTAGCGCGCAGGATCCTGCAGGATCTTAGAGGATCTTGCAGGATCATGCAAGCCTGACTGACCCAAGTTTGCACTGTCCCGGGTCAGTAGAAGCCCGACGTCGCCGGTTCGGCATAGCCGCGCTTGCAGGATCGCGATGGAGCTCCACCGGAGCGATTTCTCCGCTGGAGCGGCTCTGCACTGTAACGGCCTCGGCCGAGACGACCTGGTACCGCGCAGACGGTCTCGTGTAGGGGCGCGCGGGGTCCATATTGGCCATTCACGCAGGCGTGCGCAGTGGCAGCAGGCGCTGTCGGTGCTCCAGCAGTTGAGGCTGCTGGCGCTGAGGCAGGGGGCCCAGAAGTCTACACACGTCCAGCGCCTGCCTGCCCCTCCTGGCAGGGAGAGGGGAGGCTGAGGACGAAGAGGATCGAGGATGGAGAGGGAGGCACCGGACATGCCAGAGACAGGGTGCCCCGACGTGTTTTTGTCCGTCCCAGGGCACATGGCGGCTTCTGGAGTCGGTTTGGTTGATGGGCTTGTTTTCCACCACCACCACCATAAGTAGGAGGAAGAGGAGGAGGAGGAGGAGGAGGAGGAGGAGGAGGAGGAGGAGGAGGAGGACCCCCCTCCCCCTCCAACTTATGGTGGTGGTGGTGGTGGAAAACAAGCCCATCATTGGTGCCATGTGGGGGTTCCCAACCAGGGCTTCCCACCACGGGTCGGTCCGTCACCCGGGGCCAGCGCCCTCTCTCTCTCTCTCTCGTCCGCCTGCCTGCAGAGCGGCGGGGGTGGAGGAGCGGGGGGGGGGCACAAGTGGGTGACGAGCTGGGCAGATGGGGAGGAGCAAGGGGGGGGAGGAGGGCGCAGGCAGGAGGGCGAAGGGGAGGGAGGAGGGAGAGGAGGAGGAGGAGGGGGATGAGGAGGATGAGGAGAAGGAGGAGGAGGATGAGGATGAGGATGAGAATGAGGATGAGGATTCTGATGATGATCATGCTGATGATGATGATGATGATGATGATGATGATGATGATGATGATGATGATGATGATGATGATTATGTTGATGATGATGATGATGATGATGATGATGATGATGATGATGATGATACTGATGCTGAGGATGATGGTGATGCTGTTGAGGATGATGATGAGGATGATAATGATGATGACGATGATTATGATGAGGATGAGGATGACGATGATGATGATGATGATGGTGCTGATGACGATGATACTGATGATGATGCTGCTGATGATGATGTGGCTGCTGATGATGACGATGCTGCTGATGATGATGCTGATGCTGATGACGATGCTGATGCTGCTGATGATGCTGATGATGATGACGATGAGGAGGAGGAGGAGGAGGATTCTGATGATGATGCTGATGACGATGACGACGACGTCTACGATTATGATGATGATGATGATGATGATGATGATGATGATGATGATGATGATGCTAATGCTAATGCTGATGCTGATGCTGATGATGATGCTGATGCTGATGATGCTGATGCTGATGCTGATGCTGATGCTGATGCTGATGCTGATGCTGATGCTGATGCTGATGCTGATGTTGATGTTGATGTTGATGATGATGATGATGATGATGATGATGAGGAGGAGGAGGAGGAGGAGGAGGAGGAGGAGCAGGAGGCGGAGCAGCAGGAGGAGGAGGAGGAGGAGGAGGAGGAGGAGGAGTGGAAGGAGGGAGGTGTGCAGGGAGGGAGGAGGGGCAGGACAGGACGAGGGAGCACCGAGGGAGGGCCAGGGACGCTGCTTTGTGTTGGGCCCCCTATGATGCCGACGGCCTTCCACTACAACTCCGCGCTTCGCGCCTGCGGCCTCGACGAGCAGTGGCAGCGCGCGCTCGACCTCCTCCGCCAGCTTGCCCAGGCGGGGCTGGAGGCGGGCGCCGCGGGCCTGGTCTCCGCCATGAGCGCGTGCGGGACGGGCGACGCGGGGACCGGCCGGTCGTCGTCCCTCCTCCTCCTCCTCCTCCTCCTCCTCCTCCTCCTCCTCCTCCTCCTCCTCCTCCTCCTCCTCCTCCTCCTCTTAAGCCGGGCCTGCCCCCCTACAGGAGGAAAATTCAAAAATAGTAAAAAAGTAGTCCCGGGAGGATTCCTGCAGCTGAAAAATGTTATGACTATTTTTTATGTTTCGTCCAGAATCCGCCTGTCGGGGGAAATGCCCGACCTAATCCTCCTCCTCCCTCCCCTCCTCTCCCGTCCCGTCTCTTCCTCTCCCCTCCCCTCAGTTTTTCAGGCGGCTCTGACTAATTAGCTGTCGGACGGAAGTCAAAACAGTCGGGGTCGGAGGAGCAGACTCGAGCCAACCTATCTGCTCCTCTCGTCTGCTGGTGCTCGCTGTCAAAAAAGATCTCATCGGACGGGGCACGGATGAGGAACAATCCCTTCCACAGCTCTCCGGAACGCTCTCAGAGCGTTCCCGAACGCTCTGAGAAGGCCGCGGCGCCTGGGATACCCCTCAGAGCCGCTGGATCTCAGAGATTCTCGATCTATCCGTACCCGATGATATCCCCGTCCTAGCTTCGTCTAGCTCCGTTTTTTAAGATACATCCCTCCTCTGCCCTCCCTCCTCTCCCTCGAAGGCGAAACATCTGCGTGAGCATTCGCGTTCGGAGCTCCGCGCGGATTCCCCGGGCTGGCACCTGGGCCCCCGCGGCAGGTCGCCTCTGGCGCCGCCTTTGGCGCGCCCCGCGCTTCCAGGGAGGGGGGTCCAGCGCAGACCTGAGACATCTGCGCGGAGCTCCGAAGCTTCTGTGTGCGCAGTGGGTTCTTTTCTGCCCCCTCTCGAGGAAGAACGACGCTATAAACTCAAACCTTTGGCGCTCCGCGCGGATTTCTTGGATCCGCGCTGGGCCCCCTGGCGCCTTCGGCGCCGCCCTTGGCGCAGATCCAAGAAATCCGCGCGGAGCGCCAAAAGTTTATGTTTATGTTTTTTTCTTCTACTACTCCGTCCGCCTCCGTCCTCCTCCTGTCGAGCCGCTTCGCAGGATCAGGGCGCGCGCCAGGGAGGGGGGTCCAGCTGAGATCTGAGAAACCCACGCCGGATCTCCGAAGTTGGTGTTTATGCTGATTGTGAAGGCCTGACGGCCGGTGCCGCCGACCGTGAAAGACATCGACGACGACCAGGAGGGGGAGGAGGAGGAGAAGGAGGAGAAGAGGAGGAGGAAAAGAAGGAGAAGAAGGAGGAGGAGGAGCGGAGATAAGGAGGGGATGAGGAGGAGAAGGAGGAGGAAAAGGACTCCCCCCTGGCCCCCCCCCCCCTTGGGAGGAGGACCGGGGGAGGACCGGCGTGGGAGAGGGGAGGGGAGGGGAGGAAAACCCCAGGGACGGATGCGTATCTGACTCCCCTCCCCCCCCTTCTGGGACTCCTCCCCACCTTGGGAGGATGACCCGAGGAGGACCGGCGCGCCGGAGAAGGACCGGCGTGGGAGAGCAGGCGATGCGAATCTGACCCCCCCCTTTTTTCCCCCGGGACCCCCCCCCCTCCGTCAGGGAAGGGACAAATGGAAGGGCTCCCCTTTGACGTAATGAGGACGTGGATGGAATTCCCTCAAGCTGCGAACCCGTTGAACGAGGAAGGGTGCACTCTCTCTCTCTCTCTTTCTCTCTCCCCCGACGGGAGAGGAGGATGGGAAGGATGGGACGAAAGAAGGCTCTCCGTCGACGGGACCGGACAGACACCCCACGCACGCCGACAGGGTCGGCGGATTTGTCCTCCTATACTCCCTCCTCCTCCGACGTCCTCCTGTCGAGATGCTTCGCAGGATCAGGGCCCAGAATTTGACCTGTCATAAGGAGACTACTCGTAAGAGTGACCTTTCGCCAGGGTGACCTCTGGTGCGGGCCCTGGGATCCTCCGATCGCCGAACGCGAGGCGGCAGTAGCGTCTTGCGCGTCTGTGTTTGGCCACCCCGCGGCCCCCCAAAAGGCTGCGGACCAGAGGTCCCTCTTTCCCAGGGTCGCTCTCACCTGCAGCCGGACCAGGGATGCCAGCATGACCCCGTGCTGGAGCGACCCAACGGGGTATGCCCGTGAGCATTCGCTCGTGTGCGACAGGTTGATATATATATATATATATATGTATAGATATACATATGAAAATACAGCTAATATATACATATGTATAGATGTGTGTATGCATATAGATATACTTGTATGTATGTATGTATGTATGTATGCATGCATGCATGCATGCATGTATGTATGTATGCATGTATGTATGTATGTATGGATGTGTGTCTGTATGTATGCATGCATGCATGTATGATTGTATGTATGTATGTATGCATGCATGCATGCATGCATCTAGGTAGGTAGGTAGGTCGGTAGGTCGGTATGCATGTATGATGTATGATATATGATGTGTGATGCATGTGTATGTGTACGTGTACGTGTACGTGTATGTGTATGTATGTATGTATGTATGTATGTATGTATGTGTGTGTATATATGTATGTATGTATGTATGCATGTCTGTATGTTTGTATGTATGTATGTGTGCATGTATGTATGTGTGTATGTATGCATGCATGCATGCATGTAGGTAGTTAGGTAGGTAGGCAGGTCGGTAGGTATGCATGTATGATGTATGATGAATGTGTATGTGCATGTGTATGTGTATTTGTATGTGGATGAATATGTGTATGTGTATGTGTATGTGTATGTGTATGTCTGTGTGTATGTATGCATGCAGGCATGTATGCATGCATTCATGCATGCATGCATGCACACATGTAGGTAGGTAGGTAGGTAGGTAGGTAGTTAGGTATGCATGTATGATGTATGATGTATGTGTATGTGTATGTGTATGTGTATGTGTATGTGTATGTGTATGTGTATGTGTATGTGTATGTGTATGTGTATGTATGTGTGTATGTATGTATGTACGTATGCATGTATGTATGTATATATGTGTATGTATGTATGCATGCATGCATGCATGTATGCATGTAGGTAGGTAGGTAGGTAGTTGGGTAGGTAGGTAGGTAGGTAAGTAGGTAGGTAGGTATGCATGTGTGATAAATGATGCATGTGTATGTGTACGTGGTGTACGTGTATGTGTATGTGTATGTGTATGTGTATGTGTATGTGCATGTGTATGTGTATGTGTATGTATGTGTGTATGTATGTATGTACGTATGCATGTATGTATGTATCTATATATATGTGTATGTATGTATGCATGCATGCATGCATGTATGCATGTAGGTAGGTAGGTAGGTAGTTGGGTAGGTAGGTAGGTAGGTAAGTAGGTAGGTAGGTATGCATGTGTGATATGTGATGCATGTGTATGTGTACGTGGTGTATGAGTATGTGTATGTGTATGTGTATGTGTATGTATATGTGTATGTGTATGTGTATGTGTATGTGTATGTATGCATGCATGTATGTATATATATATGTATGTATGTATGCATGCATGCATGCATGTATGCATGTAGGTAGGTAGGTAGGTAGTTGGGTAGGTAGGTAGGTAGGTAAGTAGGTAGGTAGGTATGCATGTGTGATATATGATGCATGTGTATGTGTACGTGGTGTGTGTGTGTATGTGTATGTGTATGTGTATGTGTATGTGTATGTGTATGTGTATGTGTATGTGTATGTGTATGTATGTCTGCATGCATGCATGTATGTATGTATGTATGTAGGTATGTATGTATATATGTGTATAGCAGACTCTGGGAGGGGCGGGTTCTGGGCCCCCCTGCGCCCCTGCCTCGAGCCGGGGGGCCTGCGTGCAGGGGGCCTTCGTCGCGGCCGAGGCCGACCTCTCCGCGGAAGCGGCCCCCGGGGGGGAGCAGTGGCGAACGGTCCCGGCGTGCCTATAGCCCTACCAAACTATGTTCTGAGAACCTTTTGTGGTTGCCACGAAACGTTCTTAGATCATTTCTGGCTGGGACTGTCTCGTTTTAACACATCGGCTTTACGTTCTAAGAACGTTGTTTTTGTTCTTAGAACATGTCCGGGTTCTAAGAACATGTCGTGGTATGACTATAGGAATGCCGGGACGGTCGGTCCCTGCTCAAGGGGGGGAGCCTCTGCGCGAACGCCGTAGTCGAGGCCTCGGGGGCTCCGAGGCGGCGGCGGGCCAGACACGCCCGCGGTCGAGGGCAGGTGGTTTTCAAAATGTGGTTTTGGCCTCAGCTCCACGCGCATGCGCTTCAAATGCTGCAAGAGTTTCATGGATTCGCGGCGGGCGGCGATCAAATGTGTGTCTCGCCTTAGCGCCAAACATACTCGACCTAACCATGATCAAAGACACACGTGGATTAAGGCCGGGTTCAAAATGCAATGTTCGCTTTAGCGCCGCGCACATCCTTTTTCAAAGATGCAAGAGCTTCACGGAGTGAGGGCGGCACCTTTTCAAATTGTGCCACTCGCTTCAGCGCCGCGCACAGTCCTTTAAAGCATTGCAAGTTTGTAGCGGACTCGCATGGCTCACGTACCCGAAACGGCGTGTTGGAACGATTCAAGGTTCTCAAGGCGAAACAGTTACGTTGATTCGCGTTGCGGAAATTCTACGAATGGTGTCTTGGTGCGACTCAGGATATCCAAGGCGCAACCGTCAGGTTGATTCGTGGCGTTGGAGTCCAGCGAGTAGTGTTTTGGCACGCTTCAGGGTCTTCAAGCGGTTGTCTCGCAACGGGACACGTCCCTCAGTGGAGAAGAGTCCGTGTAGTGGCCTATGAAAAGGGAGCGTGGAGGGAGGGCTTATCCCAACATCCTTGATGAGTCTTGGGTTTGTTCTGGTCCTTTTTCCTTCTCCTCCTCTTCCTTCTCAGCCTTTCTTGCTCTCTCCTCCATCCTCCTCCTCCTCTTCCTCCCTCCCCCCTCCTCTATTCTGTGTCCTTGTGAATAACTCCTCCCCGTCGAACCCCGAGGCCAGTCAAGGGCGGGCCGGGCGCTTCGCCTGAGGCTTCTTTGCCATGGTCACGATTTCATATATGGAAGGCGGGCCATTTTCAACATGTGTCTCTCGCCTTAGCGCCGCGCACATTCGTCTTAACGATTTGCAAGTGCTTCACAGATTGAGGGCGGATGGGGTTCAAAATGTGGATCTCGCCCCAGCGCCGTGCACAGTCGTCTTAAGAAATTTCTCGAGTTTCACGGGTACGCATGGTCAATGCACCAGACATGGTGTTTTGGAACGGTTCAGGAATGTCAGGGCTCGACAGTTACATTTCGCGTTGGTGAAGTCCCAGGAATGACCTTCTGGCATGGTTCAGGATCGTCAAGACGCAACCGTCAGGATGATTGGGTGCGTTGGGGTCCCGGGCACGGTGTTTTGTCACGATTCCGGATTTTCAAGCGGTTGTCTCCCAATGGGGCCATTTCTTCCATGGAAATGAGAAGGAGCTTGGAGGAAGGGTTTCGTCCAACATCGTTGATCAATCTTCTTGGGTTTACACTGGTCCCTCCTCCTCCTCCTCCTCTTCCTAACCTTCCTTCTCCTTCTCCTCCTCCTCCTCACCTTCAGGCTTGCTCGTTTTGGCGCCGCGGTCCAGGAAGGTGGCATTCTTAGAACCATCCCCACTCCCACTAGGGCAGGGTAAGTTGGCTCTCCCAGCGTACCCCCTCTAGGTGGGGATGGTAGGAATCACCATCTTCAGAGCCATCCCCACCCTTCTCTTCCTCACACCGCATTTCAAGACCAAATCCCAGACATAAATTCGAGTACCCAGAACGGTACCGAAACAGTGTTTGCCCGGCATTCTGGTGAAGTTCGAACAGTCATCGCCTTCGACACGATAAAACCCTTCAGTTTCGGTTTTTTGTGTTCAAATTCTTGTAGGTAGTCAATGCTAAAGTAGGTTAGAACTTCATAACCTCACCCCTCATCCATGTCCCTTCCCACATTGCCGAGAACGAATATAGGCTTGCTCGTTTCGGCGCCGCGGTCCAGGAAGGCGGGATCAACGCCAACGCGGTGGCGGACCCACCGGCCGATAGGAAGAATCACCATCTTCAGAACCATCGCAACCCCCATCAAGGCATGGTAAGTTGGCACTCTCAGCGTAACCCTTCTAGGAGGGGATGGGCGCCCCAAGCCCCGACGGAGATGGCACTCATCCCCACCTAGGGGGGCACGTAGGTTGACCAGCGGGGTCAAGGTTTCCCTGGTGGGGGTGGGGATTGTGCCCAGACGTGCGACGTCCTCCCGGTTTTTCCAGTGCGCGGTCTCTGGATGTCCCGACCCTATCACCAGGACCCGTTTTTCATCATGAGCCGTTTGTTTTCGGCCCCGGGGCCTCGCGAGGGCCCCCCGGGGGCCCAAACCTGCCAAAAAGCCTCTCGTCCCGAGATGCCTTTCGCGACGTGAGCATGTCTGGGTTCTTCCTGTCCAGACAAGAACCACGCCATGCCGCGCGGCAATGGTTCGACGTGATTCCGACGTCAATCCGACGTGACTCGGACTTTGACCCGGCGTGAATCCAACACACATCCTATCAATTGGCCACGTGAGGCTGCCAGGAATTTCCTGTCAACGTTATGTGTTTTGCCCGCCGCCGCCGCTGAAAAATCCTGAAAGCCTCGCGTGGCCAAGCAGAAGCGCGGCTTTAGGGGCGGGCGCGGCTTTAGGGTGGGGCGTGAGGGGGCCAAAACAAAGCTTCCTGGAAGCTTCGCGTGGCCAATTGATAGGATTTGTGTTGGAATCACGCCGGGTTGACGGCGGAATCACGTCGAACCACCGCCGCGCGGCATGGCGTGGTTCTTGTCTGGACAGGAAGAACCCAGACATGCTCACGTCGCGAAAGGCATCTCGGGACGAGAGGCTTTTTGGCAGGTTTGGGCCCCCGGGGGGCCCTCGCGAGGCCCCGGGCCGAAAGCAACGGCTCGGAGGACGAAAAGCGGGCCCCCGGGGAAGTCGTGCACCAGACGAGGTCGACGCGCGCCTCCGCGTCGAGTTGGCCGCCTGGTACTCCAGTGGGCGACAGCCATCGGGGAGGGCACCACTGATCTTGCGGTGGAGGGACTCCGCCCCCAGCCCCCCAACTACTCAACTCGGGCGGGGCTCGGACGAGGATGCAGTGTAGACCCATGCCAGGAAACACCCTGCTTGCCTCCAGGGTGCCCTGGGTGTCTTGGGTTTCGATGGTTCTTCTGTGGAGAGCGGGACGTTCCCATACAAAGATCAATGGGCATCCCAGGGTCTCAGGGTTGGGTTTTTTGTAGAAGGTTTCTTGTGGTCGAGCTCCTACTGTAAATCCGTTCCAGCGTTCCAGAACGCTCTCAGAGCGTTCCGGAACGCTCTGAGAAGGCCGCGTCGCCCGAGACGTCTTCCAGAGCCGCCAGATCTCAACAAATTTTGGGACGAGCTCCCCGGCGCACCAGGGGTGGGTCCGAGAGCTTCTGTGTGCCTCCGAACATGGCTGAAGAAGGGCTCCAGCGCGCTGGAGGGGCCTCCAGCGTTCGGAGTAAACGGCTGGCGTCGTCCCAGAAGTGTCGGGTCACCCGCGGAGAAAGCCGCGCTTCGCGATTTGGTCTTTGGTCCAGGAAGCCGTTCTTCACCAGGATGGTTGCGCAGGAGCGCGTAGGTGGCTGCGCGCTGTGCTTCGCGCGGAGCGCAGCGCGAGCTTCTGCTCAGAGGAGGAGGAGGTACCCTCGCTTTCGCCTTCTTGGGCCTCCTGGGAGGCCCTCGTCGCCACCGCGGGATTCGCTTCGAAATTCTGGTCAGAACGCACCCTGGGAGAGGTCCGGGGATTCGCGGTACCGGTACCTTTTGATTTCCCCACAGGGGGTCGTCGTCCTCGTCCTCGTCATCGTCGTCGATTACCTCACCAGTTTCTGCGGCCCTGCACAAGCGAGGGCGAGCTCAGCCCCTGCTGTTGTGCACTGCCCTGGGAACAGTCACGCAACTTTCCCGTCGACTTGTTCGGTTTCGTCGCCGTTGGTTTCTCATCGTCCCCAGGACAGTAAGAAAGGGACCCGGGATGACAGATTACCTCCAGGGATCCATGGAAGTCCCAGTATGATTCTTCCGCACGGCCTACAACAGGTGCGTCATTGTTCCAAGGGTGTGTGGGGAGGCTTTCGGGGATCGTTCCTCCTTCTCCTATTCTCCTATTATCCTCCCGCTCCTGCTGCTCCTCCTGCTCGTCCTCATCTACTACCTCCTCCTCCTCTTCCTCCTCCTGCTCCTGCTCCTCCTCCTCCTCCTCCTCCTCTCTCCTCATCGCTCCTCCCTCCTCCCTCCTCCTCCTCCTCCTCCTCCTCCTCCTCCTCCTCATCCTCCTTCCGGGCTGCTTCGGAGGCTGCCTGTCTACATTGGGTTATATCCACTTCGGTACCGCCTGCACCCCTGGGCTTCGCCCACTCCGGCCGCCTGGGGCACCGCCTTCATGTGCCCTGTCTCCCTAATTAAAGCTGTGCGTAGCCCGCCTAGCTTTGAGCGGAAGAGGTTCGCTCTCGCCCCGCAGATCAAAAACTGTCTACATTGGGTGCTGGGTGCATGCTTCTCGCTCCATGACGGATGCGCTCCAGGACGGATGCTGCCGCCCGAGGGCCCCACCGTTGGGGGTCCGCTTCGTCGGCGCACCCTGCTCAGAGGTGGCTCGTTCTGGGTGGTCGGGTATGGTGGCGCCCCCCCCGCCCAGGTGACCGATCATGGAACGCGCAGTGCCCATAATGATACACTCTTTTTTCCTCCTCTCTCTCTCTCTCTCTCCCCCGCCCAGGAGGAGGAGGACGACGAGGAGGAGGAGGCGAAGATGCACGCGTGCACGGGCGTGTCTTCCCCCCCCCCCAGGTGAGCAATGGCAGCAGGCCTTGTGGCTGCTCAGTGGCACACGGCCGAGCGAGCTGGAGCTGAATGTCGCCGGCTGCAGCGCGGTGGTCGGCGCATGCGGCCCCAGCGGGCAGTGGCGGCGCGCGCTGCAGCTGTTCGGACGGCTGCGGCGAACGCGTGTTGAGCCCGATCGGGCCTCGTGCAGCAGCGCCGTGGCCGGCGTGTGCGGCACGCCCGCGCAGTGGTGGCGGGCGCTGTCGCTGGTCAGAGGGGCGCTGGAGGCGAGGCTGCTGCCGACGGCCCCCAGCTGCGACGCCCTGGTCAGCGCCTGCGGACTGGGCGGGCAGTGGGAGCGCTCGGTGTCCCTGCTCTCCACGTCCAGGGCGCTCAGGGAGCCCGGGCAGGCCGCCGCCGGCCATGCCGCCGCCGTCAGTGCCTGCGGGCTTGGGGGGCAGTGGCGGCGCGCGCTGCAGCTGCTCGGCGAGGCGCGATCCGAGCGGCTGGAGCCGGATGCGGCTGGGAGGGCGAACGCGATCTACAGTGCGGCGATCGGCGCGTGCCGGAGGGGCGCGCGGTGGCAGCAGGCGGCGTGGCTGCTCGCGGAGATGCAGGCGCGCAGGCTGGTGCCGCGGGTGAGCAACTACTGCTCTGTCATGCGAGCCTGCGAGGCGAGCGGGCAGTGGGAGCAGGTCGTCCTGCTGCTCGGCGAGCTGGGGGAGCTGAGACTGGAGCCGAACGGTCTCGTCCAGTGCATCGCGCTGCGCGCGCACAAGAGCAGCGGGCAGTGGCAGCAGGCGCTGCGTTTGCTTGGCGAGATGCGCCAGGCGAGACTGAGTCGCCGCGCCACCAGCTACCAGGATGCAATCAGCGCTTGCGGGAACAGCGGGCAGTGGCAGCACGCGCTGTGGGTTTTCGGCGAGTCGTGTCGAGCGAGCGTTGAGCCAACTGCGGCCAGCTACACCGCTGCCATCAGCGCCTTTCAGAGAGGCCGCTGTTGGCAACACTCGTTGTGCTTATTCGAGGATATGCTGAATGCGAGGTTGCAGCCCACGGTCGCCAGCTACGCCGCCGCGACTGGAGCCTTGGAGAGTGGTGCAAGGTGGCAAGAGGCACTACAGCTGCACAGCAATATGTTTCAAGCACATTTGGAGCCAGATGCTTTTAGCTACAGCACTTTGGTCTGCTCTGCGAGAAGGCAGTGGCAGCATGCATCGTGGCTTTTCGGTCGCATGTCTCATGTGAATTTGGATCCCAACGTGGTCAGCTGCAACTGCGCCATCAGTGCATACGAGAAAGTGGGGCGGTGGCAGCAAACTGTACATTTGCTTCAGGAGATGTGGCACACAGCGGTGGAGCTGGACGCCATGGCCTATCACACTGCTCTCAGCGCTTGCGAAAAAGGCGGGCAGTGGCAGCAGGCGTGTTGGCTGCTTGGCGAGCTGAGGCGGACAAGACTGGAGCTAGACGTCGTCAGCTACATGATCACGATAAGCGCGTGTGGGAACAAGAGACAGTGGCAGCAAGCGCTCTGGCTGGTGGACGAGCTCCAGCGCCTCAACGTGGCGCCAACCATGGGCCTCTGCAAGTCCACGATCAACGCTTGCGGGAACAGCGCGCAGTGGCAGAGGGCGCTGCGCGTGCTGACAGAGTTCGGGCAGGCGAGACTGGAGCCGACGGCCAGCATCTTCAGTGCTGCGATAGCCGCGTGCAGAAGAGCCGGGCACTGGCAGCATAACGCGCTGCTGCTTGACCAGCTGAGGCAGGCGGAGCTGGTCGCGGCCGGCGTGCACGAGGACGACGGTCAGTGGCAGCAGGCGCTCTGGCTGCTCGGGCGGCTGTGGAGGGCGAGGCTGGAGCTCACGACGGTCAGCTGCAGCACCGGGGTCCGCGCGTGCGACAGGGGCGGGCTGTGGCAGGAAGCGCTGTGGCTGCTCGCCGAATCGAGGCGCGCCAAGCTGCAGCTGGCAGCCGTCACGGAGGCCCTGCACTCACTCGTCCCAGTCCCAGTCCCAGTCCGAGGAGGATGGAGGATCAGGAAGGGGGAGAGGAGGAGGAGGAGGAGGAGGGGGAAGGGAGGGAGGAGAGGTCGCGCGCGCAGCGATGCCATGTTCATGCGCCGTGCACTAGATAGCAGCCGTTAGGGGCATATGCAGAGGTGAAAAGACGCCAGAGCGGAGTGCACTGACAGTGGCAGCAGGAAGGGAGCTGCTGCTGGGACAGCTCGAGCTCAAAGATCAGAACGACCAGAGACAATGGAGATGCGAAGCGCCATGGAAGACATTGCAGCCACATCGGTACACTGACGGTCCAGAAAGGGCCACGGCAAGGGAAGCCCAGAACGAAGACCAGTGACAATGGTGAAGACAAGCGGGGGGATTCACGACAGACAGTGCCTAGTCACCAACATGAGACGTGCAAATGCACGGACGCAAAAATGTTGAGAGCAATTTGGCCAACTGAATGGCGCCTGCGATCAACAACAAGACGTACGAGCGGGACAGGAGCCAGCAAGTGCAGCTGCCAACGTGGACGATGGCCGACAACGTCATGGCACTCACTGGTGTTGGTGGGCGTCACCTGCACCCTCGGCTGCATTGGGGTCGCTGCCACGCGGCCCTCCGCGTTCTACGTGAACTTGTTGTTTGGATGCAGTGTATGTTGGGGCGGCTGACGTCGTACGCGATCGGCAGGGCCGCCTGAGCGCGCAAAGGAGCTTCACCTTCACCTTGTACTGCAACGGGGCCTCGAAATTGCAGCCCGTTGCGCTGTACTCAGGTCCGCGAACGAGCTCAAACGCGGGCAGCTGGCACCGTCGACGATGGGCACGGCACGTCTTCGCACTCGGTGGCGTTGGTGGCCGTCACCTTCACCTTCGGCTGCACCAGGGCCGCTGCATCGCAGCCCGCCGTGTTGGACTGACAGTGGTAGCCTGGCCGCACAAACCAAACCTGAGCAGGAGTCGACGACAAGGATCGGCATATGCGGCATGGCAGTTGAAAAAGTTCGGGTCACTGAACTCGCAGGTCGGGGTGCACATCACCGCCTCATACCGCAGCGACTGCGCCGCGGAGTAGCAGGCCGCTATCTTGCAGTGCTTGCATGGGTTACCCAAGAAGCCGCACATACCGGGGCAGAGTTGTAGACGATTGGCATTGTCACCTTTACCTTCTGCTGCGATTGGGGCTCGGAATTGCAGCCCGTCATGGTGTACTGGCATCGACCTTGAAGCAGCTCGGTCCTGGGCAGCGGGCACCGAGATCCAAACCTGGGCAGCCGTCGTCGCTTACGATCCGAGAGCAGCCGGCTACGCTGCCGCGCAAGCGAGCGGGCGAAACGCCTTCTGGGCGCGGCGAGCATGAGGCCGAGTCGTGATTCCCGAATCGCGTTTCGCTGGAGGTTCTAAGAATAGAGTTAGAAGAATTCCACAGAAGAGCCCCACTGGGGGGACTTGGCATCGCTCGGACGTGTGCATTTTTCCTTTGACGAGGACCGTCGAGGAGCATCCTTGATCATTTGGCGAAAAAACCACGCACGAAACCGAAAATAACACAGGGAATGGACGTCCGAGCGATGGCCAGGGGATGGGGAGCCCTAGACCACCTGGTCCGGCAGCTGTTTCGCCTGAGACTTCCTCACCATTTACTGGGAGCCGTGCTCGCGCCTCAGTGCCGGCTATATTTTCGGTCGGGACGGCCCAGATCCCGGGTAAGCAATGCATTAAGGTGCACATGGCCGTGCTATCATCGATTAGACGTAAGAGTAACCTTTCGCCGGAGTGACCTTTGGTGCGGGCACAGGTGGGTCCCCAGATGGCTCAAAACGAAGCAGGAGCAGCGGCTTGCGCGCCCAGGTTTGGTCCCCACCTTTCCCCAGAAAGCCGCGCACCAAAGGTCACTCTTACCCAGGGTCACTCTTGCGTATAGCCGATATCACTCTTTCCCAGCTGCATCTTGGCCTTCTTGGTCACATTTCTCCTACTCCTCGACCCGCCTCTTCACCTCCGCTGCTGCTACGTAGAGTGAATTACTAGGCTAGTGGGTCCACGTGCCGACAAGGGTCGGCAACGCGCAGAAGGGGGTAGAAGGAAGGCTGCTTAGAAGCACCCCTGCTTCTTGGAAGTCGCGGGCCATGTCTGTAATTAAATGTAGAGCTGGTGCCTTCTTCTAAGAAGCCTCTCCCCCCCTCCCCCCCTGTGCGCGCCGCCAAAGGGGGGCCACTGCTGCGGCGGCGGCTTGGGCCTTGGAGGAAGAGGAGACAGGCGGAAGGAGGAGAAGGAGGCAGGAGAGAGGACGAGGATAATAATGATGGTGCGGAGGAGGAGAAGGAGGAGGAGGAGGAGGAGGAGGAGCAAGAGGAGGAGCAAGAGGAGGAGGAGGAGGAGGAGGAGGGGGAGGAGGAGGAGGTGGAGTCGCAATCACCACTCCAGATCACCCTTCCTCCGCCCTCGACCCTCCCTCTCCTCTACTTCCCCTCCATAGCCTCCTCCCCCCTTCTCATGTGGAAGGACGAGAGGGATGAGGGGGAAGAGGAGGTAGAAATGAAGGGGAAGACAAGGCGTGGCGGCGAGGGGACCGAGGGTGAGCGGGGATGGGAGGGGGGGGGAAGGGAAGGGGAAGGTGGAGGATGAGGATGAGGAAAAGGAAGAGGAGGATGCTGATGAGGATGAGGATGCGGATGAGGATGGTGATGAGGATGGTGATGAGGATTATGATTATGATGGTGATGCTGATTTCGATGGTGATGCCCATGGTGATGGTGATGATGATAGTGGTGGTGGTGGTTGTGATGATCAGGATGAGGATGAGGATTATGATCATGTTCGTGGTGATGAGGACGATGATGAAGGCGAAGACGAGGAAGAATGATTATTCTGATGGTGGTGGTGGTGGTGGCGGTGGTGATGACGATTCTGATTTGTGATTGTGATGGAGAGGGCTCGCGGACGGCGATGCAGCGGCTGGGCGATGGCGTGCGGGAGAGTTACTGGCTGTGAGATGAGGCGAGATGGGAGCGGTCGCGAAGCGAGCCTACATACAGTGCCGTTTTTTAGACATGCTCCGCGTGCGGATCATGTATTCACAAAGCAGGTATGTTGGATGAACAACAACGATGAGTTCATGCATACATTTATGCAAGAATTCATCACGTATTAAAATCCTATGTTCAAAAAAACCATGTATTAAAAACTGCCCTGTATGATTTAGCCTTGGCCACCTGCTCAGCCTGGCTCAGCACTTTAGGTCAAAGGTCTCTCTCTCCCAACGCCGACGGTACTCTCTGCCCGTAGGAGTGGTGGGAGAGCATGGGCCCGCCAGCTTGCGCAGCTGGGAGTGCCCGATGCACCCGCAACTCCCGCAGAACCAAAGGCCCAGATGATCATGAGATTCCATATATTGGGGGCTTTGGACCATCCCTCCAGCAACATCTGAAACACCGGCCAGCTGGCAAACGTGCTACCTGCGCGGCGGAAAACTCCAAATTGAAGCGAGGGGTCTTCAGCCAGGCTGCAACGTTCGGTGTTGTGACCGAGCTCTCACATACCGTGCATGTTTCCCGCCCCGCAAGTAGAGACACAGTGGGAGGAACAGACACACCTTTGGCGGCCCCAGTCGGGTGCGGTGGGGCGCGAGCCTCCGATTCAGTGAACATTTCTGCAATGCTCGCCGCTCTTGAGAGACTTGGCCCTCCCGAGTTCGTGTTGGATGTCATTCAAAGCATGTGCAGGGATCGCGCCTTCGTTGCTCGCGACAGAGGCGTCGTGTCGGAGGAGAAGGGCCGGCGGTCCGGCATCTCCCAGGGCTGCCCGCTCTCGCCGCCCCTGTTCATTATGGTCATGTCTGTTGTGATGCACGACGCAGAATCAGCATTGCAGCCAGCGCGGCCAGGCATTTTCAGACAGCTCGTGTACGCTGACGACACTCTGCGCATGAGTAGGACGGCCGGCGACCTTGAGCAATGGCTTAAAGCAGTCTGCGACTCTGCGGCGCAAGTGGTGCTGGAGACGCACTGGGGCAAGCTTCAGTTACTAAGTTACTACGAGTCTGGTGCAACGGGCGCGTTCGCACGCCAACGGGGTAAGTTATCGAGGCTTCAGACACGCTGTCTTTCCGGGGCACCCCAAGCAGCAGCGATGATCGGGCAAGCGCAAAGATAACGAGGCGAACTGGCATGGCGCTCGCCGATTTCAGAAATCTGAAGCAAGCGTTGGGCAACACATCCATCTTTTTACACCGGAAAATTGAGCTGTTCAAGTCCATTGTGGTGCCGAAGATGTTGTACGGCCTCAGCACCGTCTGGTTGAACGCTGCAGAGCGTAGACGTTTGAACGGGGCCAAGCCCGGATATTGGGGTCTATTTGTGGGATCAGACATTCTATGATATCCCGCGTTTCAAATGACGAGGTGTGCCGGAGAATTGCGCAGAAACCTATCGCCGACATTTTGCTGAAGCACCAATTGGATTTGCATTGCAAAGCTGCGCAGAGAGGAGAGCAATGTCCCCTGCGGGACTCTGTGTTCTACCCCGGAGCCCTGACGCCTGTAAACGACATGCACATTCGAAAAGAAGGGGCCCCCCGGCTAGAATGGACCTACATCCGCACGCTGTTCGAGTACATGGTGAGCATGGAATTCGCGTGCTTTCTGATCGACCAGTCTTTCGTATTCGCCTGTGCCGCGCCGACGCGCCCTAGGGCGCATGGTTCACCTTTCCTTCCCTTTCCTTCGTGCCAACAGCAATCTCCGAAGTTACCCGAGGAAGACGCATGCGAATCAGGCTGGTCCCACCCTCGATCAGATGAAGCCTAGCCCGTTGTGGCTCGGAGACTTAGGCCCCTCTGGCCACAGCTGATGCCATCTCTTTCGCATGCGCGTTTCCAGGCATGCGCCGCAAAGGCGAATGTCGATCGACCGTCTCCTGCCCCCCCCCCCCCCCCAGGTGCTTTCATGGCAGCAATTTCTCCGCCGGGCCTCCGAAGAAGATGAGCGTTGGCATTCCTCCAGACGTCCGCGTTGGGGCCCACTGGGGCGTTGAACTCCTTTTCGCACCGCCCTCGACCCACTCCTTTATTATTTGTGACACATGCAGTAATCTAAAAAACATCATCAACCAGAGCCGCTGCTGCCAACCCAATTCGATGAAGTCGTGGATCGCGCGCGGGTGCGCCTGCGTTCGCGCGTGCGTTGGCGCCCCCTGACGCGCCTCTATGCATGGCCGCATGAGAAGGTGCTGGTACAGATTGGTGTTGGACCTTTCCACTTCTCGACTAAGCTCGGCCGATCTACTCCTATCCAGGCCGCTGGTATCAAACCACGAAGCCGGACGCATGCTGTTAAATTTGCGTGCCTTACCGCGCGGTGCCACAGACCATCCGTCAACTCGAAAAGATTGGAACATTGATTGCGCGGACACGACCAGCGTTGGTGAAGACCAGTCTCGAACGCCTGCTGGGGGCATCTCGCGCAAAAACCTGGGGCGCCATATCCAGCTTCCATTCCACGCGCTTCTGTCCAGACCCCGCCAACAGAAAGTGCCAGCAGCAGTTTCGCAAGTTGTCGGCCAGGTGGATCCCCCCGGTTGTGGCAGCTGCTCTCTGAGACTCTAGTTGACCAGGTTAAGCTCCATCCCGCATCCACAACACGATTGAAGGTTTCCATGGAGCGCTGGCGCTTGAAGGCAAGGGTGAATTCGTCGAGTAGGTGCCCGGCTTCAACTGATTCCAACTGGCAGGCGTCGAACTTCCACCCTGGAATCTTTCCGCGGGCATCCTGGCGCTGACTGGAGAGATGCCAGTCGGCGGGGCCCACCGGATCCATCTCCACTTGTAGAGAATATTGGGATTAGCGGGGGCATCGGCCACGGACGCGGCGATCGCTGTGACGCGGTTGGACTTGTTTGACCCGGCCCACAATACTTTGCCAAATGTTGCCAACTGGCGCCCGAACACCTTGATTCGTTGGTTCAGAGTTCGAGCCGTTGCTTGAGAAATTGCCAGGGACACGACGAGGGGCGCGGGGCGCGGTTAGGGGCGAGGATGGCCAGCAGCGCAGTGGGAGCTCTCCTGCGCCTGTGACCGCCTGCAACTGCGCCACGACGACGTCGGAGCTATCCGGGCCCCCCCCTGCACGACTGAGTTTGAAAATTTGCACGGCGCCTAGATGCCGCAGCATAACGCTCGACCTTCAACATCTGAACCTTGGACACCTTCGCGGTGGCTGGTCTCGCCGGCCGCGCCAGTCGCTTGCCGCTGCCATGATCGACCCCTGGGCATGCTGTCTGCCGACCGCGCTGCGCAGTAATGCCTCGCCAGCGAAGGCGCTTGACCAGCGCCTCCGCGTCTGCCGCGTTCGCGCAGGGGGCGGCGCCCTTGGGGCCCAGCCGAAGGGGGCGCCCTTCAAGCTGCCCCTGCATGGCGGCGACGGCCACCTGCAAGAGGTCGCCCACCCACAGCCGCTCGGAGAGGGGCGGGCGGCTGGTGGTGAGGCGGGCCATCGCGGCGTTCGTCGTGCACCTTGCCCGCCGTCTTCCGCCCCCGAAGCCTAGGATGATGAACCGCGTCGCCTGGAAAGGCGTTGAGGCCGCATCTGCTCGCGCCAGGGGGCGCGGCCCCGCGCTGACTTGCAGCTCCGGGCGCAGAGCCGCCCGCTTGAACCTGCACTCAAGAGCTCGCCGCGCAAGGATGGGCCGCCCGATTTCGCAGTGCTGATTTCTGATGTCCATGAAGGTGTGGCCCATGGATACCTTCAATATGACGCACGTTGATTCGCCCATGGCGCTCGTGCACGCCTTTTTCAAGGCCGAATTCCCAGCGACAGCTGCGCCTCAATCTGGTTGCGCGGGTGAGCCCCGCACCTCTGCGCGGCTCCCGAGCGAGCGACCGTGCGCGGCAAACGACGCGCACATGCCCGGCGACCTCGTCGTTTGAGCTCGTTTTCGGCCCGGTGCCCTAGGGCCATGTGCCACGCTGCTCGATGACGTTAAGAATATTCGCTGAATCCGAGATCGCAGCGTCTGGCAAAAGATCCTACTAAGCTGGCGCAGTGTGGTCCAGGCCCTTTCCAGCCCGTGCCCGTATGCCCTCGGTCGCAGATCGAACCTCCTCTCCTGTCAGTCAGTGGTGGGAAAGGCTCCTTTGCTGCTCATTCGCGAATCAGACCAAACACGAAGGACTGGCTCACGGGAAATCGCCTCCTGGATCTCCCGCGTGCCCGTGTTGCGCATTCCGACAAATTGCGTCGATGGGCTGATATGCCACTCCGTTGTCGGCTTCGTCCAGCTCGGTTGAAAAAGCTCGCCAGTGTCTGGTTATCCATTATTCATTATTTGAGATGTCGTAAAGAACTGTGGGCGGATGTCTTCGATGTCGTGTGGGTCAGGGGCAGGGCGAAGTGCTGTGCGACGCCCGCCATCTGTTCTTCCGTGTGGCGCGAAGTCTGGGACAGGCTCGAGGACTGGGGTTTCGTCGGGTCGGAGTTGCGTGAGCCGGTTCGTTTCGTCAAAATCCCCACCCATCCCACAGGCACTGAGATTTCAGCTGGTCGTGTTTCCCCTCGCCACAAGCGTGGTAATGTTGCTGCTGACGCATTCTCGACATGGGCAGCGCCAACATATCGCCTGCCTGATCTGCAATGCATTGCTCTGCAGGCGCGCACTCAAGTGTTCAAGTCTTGGATCAAGTGGGTCGGGCGTATCGGTGGTGGCCTTCCTGAGGGCACCGCGCGCCCACCTGCACATGCCGGGGACAAGCCTCCGTAAACTGTTTTGCATATTGTGAAAGAGCAGCCAGCCCGAGGCTTTGTATCTAGGGCCGCGGCTGCTTCTCGTGCAGTGCATGTTGTGTCCGAGGGCACGGAGGCCAATGCTTTCGTTCAGTTCATCCTTGAAGATCGGGCATCTTTGATCGGATGCCGCCGCTGTGGAGTCTTCTCGTGCGCGCCTTGATAAGCTCGCGGTGCCCTGCTTAGGCAACCTGCCTGATTTGGCGCGGACATGTGGGCCACGCTGGACAGAACCCAGCGGCGGAAAGTTGGAGGGTTTGCCCAGGAGTTGAGCAATTCGTTCGTATCTGGCTGCTCGTCCAAAAATCTTCGGGGCGCAATGGCTTGCGCATGGGTGGGAAAAAAGCAAGAGGACGAGAGGGGGAGGGGGAGGGTGAGCGGGATGGGAGAGAAGGGGATGAGAAGGAGGAGGTGGATGAAAAGGAGGATGAGAAGGAGGAGGTGGGAGGGGGAGGGGGGGGGGGGGCGAGAAAGGGCGAGAGGTGGAAGAGGAGGAGGAGGAAGAGGAGGAGAGGAGGAGGGGGATGGTGCAATGGGGGCCTCCCGCGTCAGCTGCAACGCTGCGATAAGCGCTTGCGGGAAAGCTGGGAAGTGGCGGTACGCGATGCGGCTGTTCAGGGTGCTGCGGCGGAAGGCCCTGGAGCCAGCTCGGGAGAGGGAGGCCAACCAGCACCGCCCAGAGGAGGAACCTTCCTTGGCATCGCTCGGACGTGTGCATTTTTCCTTCGGCGAGGACCATCGAGGAGCATCTTTGATCTTTTGGCGGAAAAACCACGCACGAAACCGAGAAAAGCACAGGGAATGGACGTCCGAGCGATGGCCAGCTTCGGGAGCCTTGAGAGACGGGGGTCAATGCAAAGGGGGGTAAATAAGGGCACCGGATCCTGCAGGATCCTGCGAAGGCCCCCTCTGGCTGACCCGGGTTGGCGAGCCGCGAGGCGGCCGCGCATATTGGTTGACCCGGGTTTGCAAAGACCTGCGTTGCACTTGTTTTTCTTTATTGCATTGCAGTCTTTTGGTTTCCTGCTGACCCGGGTCTGGATTGACCTGGGGCAGAAGATCCCTGAGGAGTGACCCTTCGCCAGAGTGACCTTTGGTGCACGTCCACTGGGGTCCCCCCGTTTGCCGAACGCGTTGCGACAGCAGCGGCTTGCGCGCTTGTGTTTGGCCCGCCCGCGGGCCCCAAAAAGAAACGCACCAAAGGTCGTTCTTACCCAGGGTCGCTCTTGCGTGTAGCGGAAGGGTCCCTTCCTCCGCAGGGAGAATCCGAATTCACTTCCTGTCGAGTTTGGGCCTTCTCGGTGTTTTCATAAACATATTTCTATTTCAGGCCGCGTCGTTTTTCATCCCCGATGCCTTTCATCAACATGCTACTCATGTTGGAATCAAGTTGCCCTCCCTCGCCCTTGTCACATGATGTTATGCTGCCTTGGTATCACTCGGAGTTGTGTATTTTGTTGGGGGCGGGGGCGAGGTCCATCGAAGAGCATGTTGGGTAGTCTTGCGAAAACTACACACGACATCCCGCACATGCATGGGGAATGGACGTCTGAGCTAGGGAGAGCTGTGCGCATACGTTGATCTAAGGCGTAGTATTGCCCCATAAGACCCCAAGAGCGGGGCGCATGCGAGCAGTCCAGAATCCATCCAAGCGAAGAACGGTTTTTTGTGTGTCTCCATTTCAAGCGTCACTTTTCTACCACTCTCAGAAAGCATGTATATACTTTACATTCCAGAAGGTGTCAGCATTCTGGGCGCGCTCGCACTCGCTGGGATCACGAGACAGGCGCAGGGCTCTCGCAGCTCTGTCACGTGACACCATGCGGATCGCACGCGCGAGCGCGCATGTCAAACAATTTAGCAACCATCGTGCGCCCGCCAATCCTGTCATACAATACCATGCGGACAGTGCGCGCCTCTCCGCGCGCGCTCGCGTCGAAACCCTTTCAAGTTATAAGTAGTCGCACCGTTTCAGCACACAGGCCTTCAAGCATTTGAAACATATTCGAAGATCAAGTAGCTCGTCAAACATATGCCACAATTACGACATCCCTGCGGGCTGTCAGTTCCTCATCCTTGTCAGCGCAATCACTATCATCATCGTCAGCGACATCATTGCCGTCGTCGTCGTCATCACCACCATCATCCTCATCATCACCCGTTGCCGTTTTGGCTCAAGGCCACATGGCGGCTCCTCCACTGCCTTCGCGGGGTAGGATCCCATTCCACCTTTCTTCTCAGAGCGATCCCTCTCCATATCCAAGACCAGGACCGAGCCTCGCGCCCCCAGCACCTCCATACCAAAGACCAGGACCGAGTCTCGCGCCCCTGGCACAGCAATTCCAGTGCCCAGGTCCGAGCCTCGCGCCCCTGGCACACCGCGCCCGCCGCCGATCCGGCCCAACGCCACCCGCGTCCTCGTCATCTACGGGCTGTTCCCCGCCCTGCTTACCAGCCTCGAACATATCCCTATCCCTAAGATTGGCGCGCCAAAAGGCGATGACACTCTTAGGGATTCGCCATCAAAACATAAGGGAATCCCTATGATTGGCATCGTGATGAGGAGATGCCCAGCATAGGGATAGGGATATGTTCCAGGCTGGTAACCTACTCAGCTCATGCCGGCAGACCCTCGCTGTCAGCTGTCAGTGCTACGCCGACCAGTCCCAGTGTCATCTTCGAGCTCGGACGACCCCCGTACAAGTGGTTCGCGAGCCTCCAGAAGTGGCGGCTTCTCTGCGGAAGGAGGTGGACCGCGACGCAGTGACGCTCGACAGGCCAAACGACGTGCCCGAGGTGAAGAAGAACGCGAACGTGACCGATGACGGGACGATCGAGTCAGAGACTGCGATCGTTCAGACAGGCGGCATCCGCTACAAAGACGTGACCCTTGGCATTCGGATCGGTCCACAACAGCCAGTGTCTCGTGACCAGGACGTTCTGAAGGACCAGGTGGAGCCCGTCAACGTGAGGCTCCTGGATCTGCTCCTCCTCAGGGCGCCGCTCAGCATTTCCCCATGGACCAAGAAGTCGAACGCCTCGCTGCCGAGATCGAGCTGGCCCCAACGTTTCCGCCACAAGATCTTCGAGCAGACGCTTCGCCGCCCCCTGCTCCTCCGCAGCACGTTGCAGCAGCCGCTCCCGAGCGGCCCGCCATACCGCGACCTCCACGATAGCAACGCCCAGCGGCTGCCTCCCACGAGACCCGCCCCCACAGCTCCCACAGCTTCCTGGAGGACCTGCACCGCCTGGACTCTCTGCCGCCATTGAGAGCGTGGTCGACGTGCAGCTCACCATGGCCACCCAACAGCTCAGCAATCCCTTCGGCACGACCTGGGAACATGTACAACAGGATCTTCGCAGCACCATCGAGCAGTACTACGCCCCGCAGCAAGCCCGCATCGAGCAAGCCGAACGCGACCTTGGACAAATCCGCCGCCGCCACGATGAGCAAGCGTCGCAGCAGGAAGTTCTTCGTCAAGCAGTGCGCCGACTCGAACAGGCAGTCTCTCTCGCTCGAACCCAATTTCCTACCGTCGACCTCGCCAACCTCGCGGACTACGAGCGCGAGCCGAACCCGTGCCTCTTCCAGATCGGCGCTCCGAGCAACGTCCAACCTGCTGAAGTTTGCCGCGCCCTCGATCCCTGGATGCAGGGCGCTCGGCTCACTGCCGAGCATGTGCATCTACTCGAGGATGCCCTTGCTCGCCGCTTTCATTTACATATCCGCGGCGGACCTGAAGTCGCCCGACCCCGCGCGCTCGCTCTCGCCCGAGCTCTCAAGCTCATTGGGGGCAGATGGCGCACATTCTCTGCCCCCCAGCGCCCAGGGCGCCGTCACTTCGCTTTACGACGCCACCGACAAATCGCCCAGGCAGGTCCGCGAGGAGCTCCAAGCCAAGCGCGTCGCGAACATCCTGGGCGAGACTTTCCCTGACGTCACCTTCAGGACGCTGCGCCAGTCGGGCACCGTGCAGTCGGGCGCGATGCCGACCGTCTGACGGTGACGCAGGTGTCGAACGAGGCGCACACGGTTGTGGAACTCTGTGTCGCAACACTCGCATCGAGAGCCAGCAGTATAGAACTGGACATCATCCGAAGGAAGATGCTGCTTGGTGCGGTGCCTCTTGAGGGATGCTTCCGTCGAGAAGGTATCTCCGCAGTCATAGCATACGTAGTGCGTCACATCGTTGTGTTGGCCCTGCTGGGGGTCGATGCTGCCGTCTGCTTGGCTGCCGCCGAGTCCCTCTTCGCGCGAGCGTTTCCATAGCTGGTGTCTGCAATCCTCGAGCCACGTCCTTCCATGCGCTTCCCATGCTCCAGATGGCCTTCGGCATCCTCGGACTCACGCGCCGGGCCGCCCCTCTCGGGACCGTCTGGGGGCGTCTTGGGCGCTGCTGGGGCCGCTTGGGGCCCCCTTGGGCGGTCTTTGGGCCCTCTTGGGGGCCTCTCGGCCGGTCCTGCCTCCTCCTCTTCTTGCAGTACGTATTTCTGATCGCAGGCCTTCTGGTGCACTGCGTGCTTCGAGCCCTTCCCCCCCCCTCCACCTCCTCCTCCTCCTCCTCCTCCTCCCTCCTCCTCCTCCTCCTCCCCTCCTCCTCCTCCTCCTCCTCCTCCTCTCCTCCTCCTCCTCCTTCTCCTCCTCCTCCTCCTCCTCCCCCTCCTCCTCCTCCTCCTCCTCCTCCTCCTCCTCCCCCTCAATTCCTTTTCCTTATAACTAGTCAACGTCTCCCTGTCGCACCCCGAAAACAGTTTTAGGGCGGGCCGGGCATTTCGCCTGAGACTTTCCTCACAATTCATGATTATGAAGCTTATACATGGGCAACAGCTTCACAGATGGAGGGCGGGCGGTTTTCAAAATGTGGTTTTCGCTTTTGCGCGGCGCACGCTCGTGTTGAACAACGCAAGAGATTCACGGATTGAGGGCGGCTAATTTTCAAAATGTGGTTCTCGCCTTAGCGCCGCGCACATTCGTTTTTTTAAAACAGTTGCAGAAGCTTCACGGACTGAGGGCGGTTTCTTTTCAAATTGTGGTTCTCGCCTTTGCGCCGCGTACAATCGTGCTGACATGTTTTATCAGTTTCACGGATCCTCATCATCAACGTACCAAAAATCGCGTTTCGGACGGATTCTGGACCCTGCGCGTGCAACAGTTACGTTGGTTCTCTGTTGAAGTCATAGGAATGGCGTTCTGGCACGATTCAAAACCGCCAAAACGCAACACTCGGGTTGATTCGTGGCGTTGTAATCCCCAGAACAATGTTTTGACATGCTTCCGGGTCTTCAAACGGGTGTCTCCCAACGAGGCAGTTCCATCAATGGAAATGAACCGTTGTAGGGGCTTATGATATGAAGAGGGAGCCTGGAGGGAGGCTTTACTCCAACATCGTTGATGACTATTGAGTTTACACTGGTCCTCTTCCTCCTCCTGCAGTGCGTATTTCTGATAGCAGGACTTCTGATGCACTGCGTGCTTCGAGCCCCCTTCCAGTGGGGGCCGTGGCTCCAGGCATCGCCACGGGGGCTCGAGCAGATGGGGTCGGAGGATCGCGCTGCATCGCCGAATTTTGAGCCGGCGATGCGGCTCGATGTGGGCCCCGCTTTGTTTCTCCAAGATGACGACGCCGATGCATCGGCCATGCGTCGAGGTATCCGACCTCTTCTCGGAACAAATGTGAGGTGCATCCAATACTTCGAGCCCCTTCCCGGTGGGGTCGTGGCGGTGCCGGCCGGCGCTCCCCCTCCCGGCAATCGGCGTCGAGCTGCAGCTCCGCGATCGGGGCGTACGCGGCAAGCGGGCGGTGGCAGCTGGCGCTGCTGTTGCTGGGCGGCCTGTGCAGGGCGAGGCGGGAGGGGGCGTAGGAGAGGAAGAGGAAAAGGTTCGCAGGAGTAGGAGGAGCAGGAGGAGGAGGGGAGAGGAGGAGGAAGAAGAGGGAAGAGGAGGAGGAGGAGGCAGAGGAGGAAGCAGAGGACGAGGAGGAGGACACAGAGGAGGAGGAGGAGGAGGAGGACCAGTGTAAACCCAAGAGTCATCGACGATGTTGGAGTAAACCCTCCCTCCAAGCTCCCTCTTCATAGGCCCCTGCAACGGTTCATTTCCTTTGATGGAACGGTCTCGTTGGGGGACACCTGTTTGAAGGCCCGGAAGCATGCCAAAACATTGTTCTGGGGATTACAACGCCACGGATCAACCTGAGTGTTGCGTCATGGCGATTTTGAATCGTGCCAGAACGCCATTCCTATGACTTCAACAGAGATACAACATAACTGCTGCACGCGCATAACCTCGAATCCTTCCAAAACACCATTTCTTGTACGCTGATGATGAGAATCCGTGAAACTCTTGCAAGTTGTTAAAATGAGTGTACGCGGCGCTGCGGCGAGAGCAACATTTTGAGAAGGAACCGCCCTCAATCCGTGAAGCTCTTGCAAATGTTAAACGAAGATACACGACACTGAGACGAGAACCACATTTTGAAACCCACTCGCCCTCAATCCGTGAAACTCTTGTATTTTTTTTACAAAAGCGAATGTGCGCGGCGCTAAAGCGAGAGCCACATTTGGAAAGCCATTCGCCTTCAATCCGAGAAACTCTTGCAATTGTTTTGTACAAAGAATGTGCGCCGCGCTCAGGCGAGAGCCACATTTTGAAAACCACCCGCCCTCAACACGTGAAACGATTGCAATGTTTTAGAAACGAGTGTGCGCCGCGCTAAGGCGAGAGCCACATTTTGAAAACCACCCGCCCTCCATGCGTGACACTCTTGCAACTCTCTAAAAAGACTGTGCGTGGCGCTAAGGCGAGAGCCACATTTTGAAAACGACCCGCCCTCCATCTGTGAAACTGTTGCCCATGTTTAAGCTTCAGAGTCATAACTGGTGAGGGGGTTTCAGGCGAAACGCCCGGCCCACACTAAAAATTGGCTTCGAGGTGCGACAGGGAGAAGTTATTTCTAAGGAAAAAGAATGGAGGGAGAGGAGGGGGACGACGAGGAGGTGGGGTAAGAGGTGGAGGTGCGTAGGATGAAGCCTGCATGATGATGATGATGATGATGATGATGACGATGATGACGTTGATGATGATGATGATGATGATGATGATGATGATGATGATGATGATGATGATGGTGATGGTGATGGTGATGGTGATGGTGATGGTGATGGTGATTTTGATGGTGATGATGGTGATGATGATGATGATGCTGATGATGATGACGATGATGATGATGATGATGATGCTGATGATGATGATGATGATGATGATGATGATGATGATGATGATGATGATGATGATGATGATGACGGTGTGCGGAGGAGGAGGCAGAGAGGAGGAAGAGGCGGAGCACGAGTGGGAGCAGGATGTGCGTAGGATGGGGCGTGTATGATGATGGGGAGGTGCACAGGAGATGCGGAGGAGGAGGAGGTACAGGAAACGAGGAAGTGGAGCAGGAGGTGCGCAGGGGCAGGATGAGGAGGACGACTGGGGAGGGGGACCTGAAGGAGGAGCTGGATGTAAGTCGGGCGTGTCCTTCTACAGGAGGAATATGAAAATATAGTCAAAAAATAGTCTGGGGACGATTTGTTGATTCTTTTGGCTGTTTTGGAATTTTGTCTTGATATTTTCATGGTCCGGCTGTAGGGGGACATGCCCGACCTAAAGCTCGGGTGTTGCTAGAAGTACCCCTGGCCCAAGGTACCCCCAGGATTCTCGGGGTGGCCCGGACGGCCTCCAGGGCACCCCTCACGAGGCCCAGAGGGCCCCAGGGGCTCCAAAACGGAGCGAAAAGCTGGTGGCACTTTGGGCCAGGGGCACCTCTAGCAACACCCGAAAAGCTGCTTGAGGGGGGGGGGGGAGGAGGGCGAGGCTCGAGCTGGCCGAGAGCACGCGGGCCGCCGCGGTCGGCGTGTGCGACGCAGGCCGGCGCTGGGAGCAGTCGGCGCTGCTGATGGACGGGCTGAGGCGCGCGGCACGCATCCTCCTCCTCCTCCTCCTCCTCCTCCTCCTGCTCCGTACATCCTTGATGGGCCCGTTTCTCGGGGGCGGCAGAGAGGGGGGTGATGACTAGTGACTAGGGGAAATGGATATCATGGCGGGGGCCATGATATGTCTCCAGATTTCATGGCGCCTCTTCTTACTTCATCACGTCCCTGGCCCCCCCGCTGGGCCGCGCACGTGTCGCCGGTCATGATTTGCACACCCCCTCTTGGACACCCCCCTCTTGGCCACTCCCGAAAAGGGGGTGGAGGATGAGGAGGAGGAAGAGGAGGAGGAGGACCCCCTCCCCCTCCCACTTACTCTATGGTGGTGGTGGTGGAGAACAGGCCCACCAGTACTTCTCTGGCAGAAAGGCCGCCATAAACAGAAAGTTTTGGCGCTTCGCGCGGGTTTCTTGGATCCGCGCCTGGGGCCCCCTGCGGCGCCTCCGGCGCCGCCTCTGGCGCGCTCCGCGCGCAAGGGAGGGGGCTTCAGCGTGGATCCAAGAAATCCGCGCGGAGCGCCAACAAAAATATGTTTGTGGCGTTTCTCCTTCTTCTGAAGCAGTTCCTCCCCATCCTCCTTCGTTCTTCCCTCCTTCCTTTTCCTTTATCTCTTAACGTCGGCTTCTTGTGGTTAACAGATGAGCGCCCCCCCCCCCCTCTGAGGCTTATGAGTAGACCCCGTGGGGCGCGAAACAATTTTGTATCATATGCGCCGTGGTATCGTCGCGGGCGCCGCCGAGGCGACCGTGTACCGCCCTGAACGACCGTCTCTAAACGTATAGAAGTTGTTACTGGGATCGTATACATAGAGGCGACATTTTTACACCTCCCTTCCCAGGCTCCTTACTGACGTGCCACAGTCGTCGTCGTCGTCGTCGTCGTCGTCGTCGTCGTCGTCGTCGTCGTCGTCGTCGTCGTCGTCGTCGTCGTCATAGCCTGCTGGGCCCGAGGAGCGCGGTTTGCAGGCATGACGCGCCCCCGAGATGTTTCTTCGCTTTCGGGCTCCACACGACTGTGTGGAATGATGGAGGCGGCCAGCCAGGCCGCTAGCGAGAGCGGCGCCGCGGCCCCCCAGTTCCTGCGCTGCGTTGGCTGGAACCCGTGCTGGGCGAGTCGCTCCGACCGTCTGGAGGAGATTATGGAGGAGTGCCACAACTTCGACTGTGTCTGCTTGGCGGGCACGAACACGGCTCGCAGCAATGCCGACGAGCACGTACACAGCAGGCGCGCTTGCGGCAGGACTGTCCCGGAGGCCCCTTGCGAGGGGGGGGGACGACCCGCACCGTACAGTAATCCAACGCGCGGCGTAGCCATCGGGCTTCCTCCTAAGGCGGGCAATGATGCGGTGAAACGCACATGGCCCAGCCCCCCAGGCGCTCCAGGCCGAGCGCTGGCAGCGCGAGTGAAATTTCAGAATGTGGATGTGCTCGCTGCGAGTACGTACTTCCCACCGCAAGGGCGGAGTCGGAAGCGCAGTCAATACTTGGGGATATGCAAGCTACTCATCGGTTGGATCGGCGGAGTGCTCGCGTGCGTCCCTGCGCAATGCACTCCCTTGATGCACGTGGAGTTGAATGACGGCGTCGGCTACAATGTCGGTATGAGGGGCGAGCTGGAACATTTGTCTCCTGAAGTGGTGGGCGCTGCTACGCGTGAGCGGGTCAAAGGTGGGGCGGATTATCGATTTCGGAAGCTGTGCGACGCCCACTACCTGACACTCGGCAGCGCGACGTCGCGCGTGGTTGACACCTTTTACGGCGAGAAGGGCTCCAGCCGCATAGACTACATGGTCTTGCCGCAGGGCATCCGCTCTCTGGTCCGCAGCTGCCAGGTCCTTCCTTCGCTCGGGGCGAAGCCGCAGGCGATCAAAGGCACCCCGCCGAAGGATCATCTTCCCATCCAGTGCTGCATCGAGTACCGTAAGTACGGCGCGCCTAACCTTGCTGATGTTACGGTCGAGGTTACGAGATGGGATCAGACTGCTATGATGGAGGCGCTGCGCACTGGCCGAGGACGGGCGCAGTTCTTATCTGATGTTCGATCGGCGATCCCTCCCCTTCCTCTTCGGTCTCTCATTGATTGGGAATCACCTGCTACAATTGTCGAGGCTCTGGAGAAATGTGTACGCACAGTTGCTAGCCAGCACTTCGGCAAGCAGCAGGGTCATGGTGAGTCCTGGGCGTCGTTTGCGGCTGAGCGGCGTCGCCTTCTCCGCGAACGGGTTCACCAGCGAGGCTGCGAGCTCATCGTGGAGGAGGGCAGGTCAGCAGCTGTTTCGGAGGAGGAAGCGAGGCGCATTGACGAGGAGCTCAAGGAGATCTCCAGGGTGCTTGCCACCAAGCGTAGGCAGCGCAACCGCCATCGTCGTGCTGCGCTGATGGAGGGGGCGGGCTGACTCTGCGTGGCGACGCAATCGCCAATCTGAGGCCATGCGGGCGTGCAGGGTGGCGGCCTTCTGCAGGCATGGGCCCAAGAGGCGCGATGGCAGACTCTTCGCGCCCGCGCCGCCGACTGCGGCGGAATGGCTCGACACCTGGCAGAAGGAGGGCTGATGCTGCTTTTGCCCAACTGGAGAAGGAGCCAGCGTCGATGGGGTGGGGTCCCAAGCCCTTCCCCCGATGAACGAGATAATTTCTGTTGCTCCGCATCGGCATGAACAAGATGACAGCTTACGAATGCGTGCCCTTGTGCTGGCAATCGTCCCATGGAGCGGGCCTTTTGAAGAACTCTACCCCAGGCCCGAAAGGCCGTCGATTTATGCGCATTGTACCCGCGATCGGGAAAGCGTTCTTTGCCGCGCGCTTGCAGGTTTCGCCGGCCAATGTAGAGCCCGGTTTCATCGCCATCGCAGGAGGGGGGCTGCCATTGTGGCGGCGAGCTGTTTGACCTGGCGCCTCCGCCAGAGCGGCAAAACACATTGTGTGTGTTTCAAAGATATGACGAACACGTTTGCCTCCACGCGATGGCAGGACATGGGGTCGACGGTGGAGCGGGGGGCGGAGGCAGAGGATACTTCGTCATGTATGCAGCGCTTCCAGACTAGTGTAGTAACCTTGCAAGGCGAGGACCGCAGTACCACGCTCAAAACTACCCACGGGGGCACGATTGGTGACCCGTTTATTGTCAGTTGTTTCCTGGATTGTTTTCGATGGCCTGTGATTCCCTGGAACCGTTCCCTTAGTGAGTTGGATCCCCAAGCCCGCGCTCTCACTGCTACATGGGGACCATGGGGTGTGGAGGGTAGTTTAACTAAGTGCGCTGATGAAATATGTAAGACCATTCTGGCCACACCTGACACAGCTTCGCGGGTTTATTCTGTTGCTCCGCAGAGTAGAGGAGAGACTGGGCGAGTAGCTCGCCACCGCTGGATTCGCTCAACATCTTGGCAAGCAGGAATTCCTCTTCTACCGCTGCCAGCATCGTGATCATTTTAAGCATATGCTTAGGAGGCAGGTCGACCAAGGACTGGAAGGGGTTGCCAAGGACAGGCGTAAATTCTTGGGGCCGTATTTAGTGCAGAGGGAGCGCCTCCGCCATGAAGTAGATAATCGCATTCGGGCCGCACGAGGCAGTTTTTGTTCGCTTGGCTGCGTTTGGGGCCTCTCAGGGATTGCATATCGCATGCGCCGCAGTTTACTGCAAGCGGTTGTAGTAAACACCCTCTACACAAGTCTCGAGGGTCTCGCACCCACGGGAGCGGACTGTGGCAGGCTAGACAAAGCTTTGGCTGGACATTTCAAGGTCGCCACGCTCGGCGCCGCCGCCGACTGGGGCGGAGCGCATCCAAAACACACTAACACTGCGCAGTTGCTTCGTCATTGACGTTTCTGTGAGAGTTGGCTTGAATTGGGGATGGGACGTCTGCACAGGTATAAGAGTTTGGCATCCGAGCCCCAACGGCATCTGCAAGTTATGCGCGTGCTCTTTGGTGACGTCCCCGCGTGCTCCCAGTATCCCCAGGTCTGCGATGGTCGACCCACGGAAGGTGCCTCGCCGCTTGCGTTCCAGATTGCGAGGGATCCCACGTTTGCGGCGGAGCGACTGGACCATAGTATCATTGGAGCTTCCGCGTCTGATCTTGAGTTGTTTAGGGGCAGTGAGGCCTGTGGGGATTTTAATTATTTAACAGCGAAGACTGATAGGTTTCTAGTTGACTCAAAAGAGCTCACAGATCACTCCACAGGGGGGTCCGGGCAGGTGTTGGGGAGTTGCCGGGCGGCAGGGTGCCGGGCTCGTTTTTCACCAACAGTCACACACTTCGTGCTCTTCGACTCCCAGAACTCCATTCCCAGGCCACATTCTGGATGCAACCGTGCTCTTCGATGCAACAGTCACACACTTCGTGCTCTTCGAGTTCCCAGAACTCCATTCCCGGGCCACATTCTGGATGCCCGGAGCCAACTGTAGGCCACTTCGTGCTCTTCGAGTTCCCAGAACTCCATTCCCGGGCCACATTTTGAATGCCCGGAGCCAACTGTAGGCCACTTCGTGCTCTTCGAGTTCCCAGAACTCCATTCCCGGGCCACATTTTGAATGCCCGTAGCCAACTGTAGGCAACTTCGTGCTCTTCGACTTCCCAGAACTCCCATTCCTGGGCCACATTTTCAGCAGGGGCAAGAGCACGACGAGGAGGAGGACGAGCAAGACCAGGAGGACGAGGACGAGCAGGAGCAGGACGAGGAGCAGGAGGAGCAGGAGAAGAAGGACGAGCAGGAGGAGGAGGAGGACGAGCAGGAGGAGGAGGACGACCAGGAGGAGGAGGACGACCAGGAAGAGGAGGAGGGAGGAGGAGGGGAGGGGGAGGAGTACCAGGAGGAGGAGGAGGAGGAGGAGGAGGAGGAGGAGGAGGAAGAGGAGGAGGAGGAGGAGGAGGAGGACGAGGAGGAGGAGGAGGAGGGGGGGGAGAGTACCAGGAGGAGGAGAACGAGGACCACCAGGAGGAGGAGGAGGAGGAGGAGGAGGAGGAGGAGGAGGAGGACACCAGGAG